TTCATTTCACTTCATTTCAATAATTTGATTATTTTAAAGGGGGGTGATTCTTTTCTATACCCACTCCCACTGTATAATATTTAACACATTATTATTATTTTCCATTGATCATATGCATTTGTGTCTTCCAAATGTAAACATTTGGTTTAGTGTGATGTATTGACCAAATTATGAAGTAATGATTTGCACTACACCATCATTTTCCGGGAAACTCTATATATAAATTGATTGCAAAAACCTTTATTGTTGAGAGCTGCAGTGCCTTTTCTATTTCACTTGTATGTAGCCCATTTGATGTATTTATTGTAGGCTAAATTGCATTTGTATTTATTACCTGTGCCTGGTCACTGTGTATTCTGTGTCATATTAGATCTGTATCAAATATTCTTGTACTGTGGCATCAGCACAAACTTCATCTACTTTCATTTCCTGCTATGACAAGGAGAACTTTATGTAATGATAAAGAAGCTTGTTTAACAGATTCTTTCAAATGTAATGCTGTGCTGTAATGTTCTCTTGACTCTAGTGTACAGGATGAGACCAGTGAGTCACGCCTGATATATAGACAAGCTTTCCACACACCTTTTCCACACTTGTATATGTATATGTATATATATATATATATATATATATATATATATATATAACATTGTTTTTTGTCACTACATAATTCCCATACTTTGTATTATTTAATAGTTTTGACTTGACTATTAATCTTTCATTTGGATGTTATAAGTTGCACTGAGTAAATACAGCTGGATAATGCAAAAACTGTGTCTGTCTTCATTTCACTTCATTTCAATAATTTGATTATTTTAAAGGGGGGTGATTCTTTTCTATACCCACTCCCACTGTATAATATTTAACACATTATTATTATTTTCCATTGATCATATGCATTTGTGTCTTCCAAATGTAAACATTTGATTTAGTGTGATGTATTATGAAGTAATGATTTGCACTACACCATCATTTCTGGGAAAACTATGTATAAATTGATTTCAAAAACCTTTATTGTTTAGAGCTGCAGGGCCTTGTCTATTTCACTTGTATGTAGCCCATTTGATGTATTTATTGTAGGCTAAATTGCGTCTGTATTTATTACCTGTGCCTGGTCACTGTGTATTCTGTGTCATATTAGATCTGTATCAAATATTCTTACGGTGCTGTGGCATCAGCACAGACTTCATCTACTTTCATTTCCTGCTATGATAAGGAGAACTTTATGTAATAAGGATGCTTAAATGTAATGTGTTATGCTGTAATGTTCTCTTGACCCTAGTGTACACATGATGAGACCAGTGAGTCACGACTGATATATAGACACGTTTTCCCCACACCTTTTCCACACTTGTGTATATATATATAACATTGTTTTGTTGCACATGATGTAGTCATTGCCCTAGAGACCAGCACTTTTCAGAGATGCATTTCCTGTCTGTAATGAGAGGTGCCATGCAACCTAAACTGGTTGTGTGTCAGTTTTGAGAATCAATCATTATGGTTCATTCATGGGGCATTGCTAGACATAAACGACATCCTGAGAGTAGTCCACAAATATCATAATTTGTCTGTTAATTAAAAGATACCATTAAATTATAATATAAATTTAAAAAACTGATGTCGCACAGCTCATTATTTTGCTAAAGGCCTTGAGTTTAAATATGCACATTTTTGAATAGACCAGAATTACAACTTCATATCAGAGGATAAATATTAAAAGCCAAAGTGCATTTTAGTCTGATTAGATTAAATGAACTTCACTTGAACTATATGGCAGTAACATGGCTTCTAGAAGGTCAACGGGTTTCTTTCCATTGGCAGACAGACAGAAAGCAGCAGCAGCAGTAAGATGTGCCACCACAAGGAGCTGCTCGGCAATAGATAACTGCTACATAACATTTAATTTTCAATGGGGCTTTGGGCCAAACAGAAAGCAGTCACATAGAAGTGCTTGCCTAGCCTTTATAACTTATGTCAGGATCCACTTCTGGTTCTGACCAGTGGTTACAATGATTTTGCAAGAAATGTTATATGGATTGTGGTTTTATTTAGGGCTGTAATTGACTTCTGTTGCATGTTTGTTTGTTTTTCAGTTTTAACTTGTCTGTTAAAGCTTTAAATAATATAATTAATAATAATTAAATAATATTATTCATAATAATTATTATTGTTAATGTATACATTAATAATAATCTAAACTAATTTACCAATTTAAATTAACATTTTAAAAACTTTCTCTGCACGGGACCCATAATAGAGATTTGGTCTCTACATACAACCTACATTTACAAAACCATGCGATATGCTGTATTTGCTATATCTGTTTATCTTACAGCTTTTTATTACTAATATTACGTTTATACTGATTGATATCGATAAATCACAGATTTACAGAAGAAAAAATTTGAATTATTGTAAAATATTTTATAGATACACAGTATGATACTTTAAGCTTTGATACTTTACTTTTCTACCAAAAAGACCAGTTACCAGTTACACTACTGTTCAGATTTCTGTTTCAAATAAATGCTGTTCTTTTGAACTGTTTTTTCATCAAAGAATCCTTAAAAAAATGTATCCCTATTTCCAAAAAAATATTAAGCAACTGTTTTCAACATCGATAATTACAATAAATGTTTCTTGAGCCCCAAATCAGCGTATTACAATGATTTTAAAATATATTCAAATAGAAAAGTTATTTTAAATTGTAATAACTTTTACTGTATTTTTAATCAAATAAATGCAGTCTTAGTGAGCATAAGAGACTTCTTTCACAAACATTTAAAAATCTTAAAGGGGTCATATGATGCGATTTCAATTTTTCCTTTCTCTTCGAAGTGTTACAAGCTCTTGGTGCATAAAGAAGATCTGTAAAGTTGCAAAGACTAAAGTCTCAAATCCAAAGAGATATTCTTTATAAAAGTTAAGAGTCAGCCACACCTACCTAAAACGGCTCGTTCTAACACGCCCCCAAATGTCTACGTCACTGTGTGGGAAGATTTGCATAACGCCGCCCAAATGTTCACGCAAAGAAAGAAGGCGTAACTTTTATTCTCGATGTTGCCGCCGCTGCCATGTCGTGGAGTCAGTGTGTGTTTCGTTGTGAAAGCGAAACTACTTTGTTTGGCCTTCCAAAAAGCGGTTTGTGATGGGCTTTGGTTCATCATGTGATTTTCTCATCACCACCTGCATTTGGTGGTTATCAGTGTATTACAAAGGTACAAAACAGATTTCAGTACTTCAATAAGGTTGGTATATTAACATTATATCAGTTAATGAAATTACGGTATTTAACTGTAAATTTAAGTTAAAACCGTAAAACCTAAAACATTGCTACCGTATTTTTTACGGTAAAATTCTGGCAACCACAGCTGCCGTTTTTTTACCGTGAATTTTACGGAATTTTTTTTACAGTGTGTGTATGAGCTCTCTCGGAAAAAAAATAGATAGTGCATCTTTGTCACTGTTTTAGGTATGGTGTAAATGTAGTGTGACAAGCAAGTTATGGCAGCTGTTAAAATGGTTAGCTTGTCTGAAACTGCGCCAACTTTGCATTTATGCTTCATGCCAACTTTGCCAGCTGCTTAGAGTGATTTATTTGCATTTAAATCTTGTGTGCATATAAATTTACCTGAGTACCACTTATCTCAGAACATGCACAGAATTATATTATATTATATTATATTATATTACAGAAAGTACTACTTGCATGAAATAATGAATATGCAGATGATAAAAATAACAATATTCAGTGTGGAGAACGACACAGATGTTCCAGAATTTCCTTATGTTCCACTGTTGCAATATGCAGAATGTTGTTCTTCCACAGAGACAATGGAGATTTTTGGGGTTGTGTTCAACCTCAGCAATGCGCCAGCTAGAAATAGCCAGTACTCTGTGTCTTTGAACCAATTAATTTTTCAATACAGTTTTTTTTGGCTGAATTTAATTATTGTAACTTTTGGCTCATAATGAAGCATGACTTTTGTGTTTTGGCATTGTGAAGATGCCAGACAGAGGCCAATAACATGTCTCACACCAAATACGTTAAGAGTTGGCAACCCTGTCTAAAGTTTTGTGCTGTGGTTTGGTTTCCTTAAATAATTAGCTGCTATAGTAGTACTCAGTTGTTTCTGTAATATAGCTGAGTACACGAAGTCATTATTGATGCTGAACAGAAGGTAAGGTTCTTCGTATTTATCTCAAGTATTTTAATTGGTTAAAGCCCTCATACCCATTTGATGAGCAAATGAACTTGCCTATTGTTTAAAGGAAGACGTCTTTAAATCAATTTAAATGTTTGTATTTTATTATTTATTTATTTATTTTAATATAATACAATTTTGTATTAATTTATTTCATCCATACAGGCATTTTGTTTCTTTATGTTCTGAGTACCATGTAAATGTTTGTAAAGCTATGTTTTTTTTGTTTTGTTTTTTTAATTAGTAGGCTATTATTTTAGGATTTTTAAAAGAAAACTGGCCATTGTATAACATTTCTTAATTGTTTCATAGTAGGCCAACATTTGTTAAATCTTTGAGGGGTAGTGGATTTAAAAGCAGTTTTCTCATTTAGCACCTAGAAATCTTTATGTTCTGAGTACCATGTAAATGTTTGTAAAGCTATGTTTTTTTTGTTTTGTTTTTTTAATTAGTAGGCTATTATTTTAGGATTTTTAAAAGAAGGCCGGCCATTGTATAACATTTCTTAATTGTTTCATAGTAGGCCAACATTTGTTAAATCTTTGAGGGGTAGTGGATTTAAAAGCAGTTTTCTCATTTAGCACCTAGAAATCTGGATTTCTACGGGGGTTTTTTTGTTTGTTTGTTTGCTTTTTAGATATTTGCCAAAGCTTTAATTTTTGGTACATCTCTAGTTTATATTTTGCACATCAGACTGCCTGCATCGCCAGACTAATATATAGGAGGCCAGAGCAGCTGTCATTCATATTGTATTATATTGCACTGACTGGACTCTCTGTCTTTGACCTGCAGTGGCCTTGCAGTTGCCTGAGGGTCTGCAGATGTTTGCCTGTGTGATCGCTGACATCATTGAGAGGTGGGTACCGCACACACTCACGCAGCACTCCTCAGGACTGTGGTCCGGCCTGGGTGGACATCCTTGGTTAAACAGGAAGAGCATTTGAGCCTGCAGAAGACCTCTGTGTTCATTACAATACTCTGTGCTTATCATCATTCCCCGCTGTAGCCATATCTGGGGCTCAGCAGAAAATTAGACATAATTGCAGACAGAAGCTAGCTATCACGGTCTCGCTAGTTAACGGCATGAAGTGGACAAAACCATTATTCTTCTCAATTACATCTTGTTACAGTCTGCACAGAGCACGCAGCGTACGAAAGTACAAATTGTGGTCCAGTGTAGGTAAAGAACGAGTCTGGCCACACCTCCCACTTCGAACGGGTTTAATGCTAATGCTAATGAACACTAGGAGCTCTGCTTAATAACAAACAATGTGCTGTGACACCAAAATGTTCACAGGCCACATGGCGTTCACAGGTGTTAAAGGAAAAGTATATCTTCAAAAATGAAAATTCTGTCATTATATACTAAACCTTATGTCTTTCTAAACCTGTATGGCTTTTGTCTTCTGTGAAACACAAAAAGTGAAATTCTGTTGAGTATATGTGTCCTTCTTTTCCACACAATTACAATGAATCGAGTCTGAATCATTTGGACTGAGTCAGTGACCGTAGCAATCTGATTCATGAACAAATGGGGGGTTTTATGAACCAAATCAGGTGATTCATTGAAAATATTTGACTCAAGCAATGATTTGCTTATAAATTGGACATTTCTACTTCTCTTAAGCAAAGTTAAGATTTATGTCAAGATTAAGTGAATATTGACGTAGATTTGGTTTGTCGAAATGGCCACTTTTATGATACTTATGATACCTGTTGCATCCTTATTAAAGCCTGAAAAGAGTCCACATTCATTGTAATTGCATGGAACCGAGCAAACAGACTTTTCTTTGTTAGAGAAAGAATGTCATACAGGTTTGGAACAACATGAGGATGCGTAAATAATGACAGAAATTTCATTTTTGGCTCAGCTGTTCCATTAAAAGCCTTGCCTCCTTTTATATTAAACATTGCATTTCTCTCCCACCATCTCCTGGGATGAATGTTCCACCTGTTTCTTTAAAGTATGTTCCTATTTTCCTCCGAATAAGCAAAGTCCTATTGATATGGATGTCTGCTCAATACTAATGAGGGACAGCTGTGGAGAGATGGGTGAGCGTTTCCATTGAGGGATATGTTTAGCCTCGGGAACCGCACTCAGAGTGTCACATTCCCAGAGGATTCATCTGAATTATGAAAACATTAGGGGACTGTAATGGTTCCATCCCACTCAGGGCCGCCGGTTTGATTTGGAGGTGAGCATAGTGTCAGTGAGTTTTAGCGAACGGCTTTGGATATTTTGATTGGGTCGTGTGAAAGTCTTGCTGTTTGATGACTCTCCTGGTTAACACAAATCCCTCTGTTTGATGTAGTTCTGCTGTCAGCCCTTCTGCAATTACATCCTGTATTCATTGACTTCCTTTTTCTCTAACCCATCTACTTTTTGCTGTTGTTCTTCTAGTGACATGTTCAGTGTTAATCTTGATGAAAATAATCATTAACAAGGTTTTTTTGAGGGTTTCTTCAAAGATAATGAAGGAAAGATAAAAATTTTTAATTAAAACATACTGTAAAAAAAATAGCACCACAAGAATTTCTTTTAAATGTTGATACAATACCATTCAAAGTTTGGGGTTGGTAAGATTTAAAAAAAATGTTTTCTCACAAAGACTGCATTTATTTGCTCAAAAATAATAGGAATATTGTGAAATATTACAATTTTAAATAACTGTTTTCTATTTTGGTATTAGCCTCGGGAACCGCACTCAGAGTGTCACATTCCCAGAGGATTCATCTGAATTATGAAAACATTAGGGGACTGTAATGGTTCCATCCCACTCAGGGCCGCCGGTTTGATTTGGAGGTGAGCATAGTGTCAGTGAGTTTTAGCGAACGGCTTTGGATATTTTGATTGGGTCGTGTGAAAGTCTTGCTGTTTGATGACTCTCCTGGTTAACACAAATCCCTCTGTTTGATGTAGTTCTGCTGTCAGCCCTTCTGCAATTACATCCTGTATTCATTGACTTCCTTTTTCTCTAACCCATCTACTTTTTGCTGTTGTTCTTCTAGTGACATGTTCAGTGTTAATCTTGATGAAAATAATCATTAACAAGGTTTTTTTGAGGGTTTCTTCAAAGATAATGAAGGAATGATAAATTTTTTTAATTAAAACATACTGTAAAAAAAAAATTTTTTTTAATAAAATTTTTTTTAAATGTTTTCTCACAAAGACTTCATTTATTTGCTCAAAAATAATAGGAATATTGTAAAATATTACAATTTTAAATAACTGTTTTCTATTTTGGTACATTTTCAAATGTCATTTAATGCTGTGATGGCAAAGCTGAATATTCAGCAGCCGTTACTCCAGCCTTCAGTGTCACTTGATCCTAGAAATCGCCTGACCTTTCCTGTTCTCTTTTTTCCTGTTAATCTTTCCACCTTTTCTATTTTGTATATTCTTCAACATATTGTTAATCAGTACAATGGTATTACCATAAATATAGTTTCAGACAAACCTTAGTAATATCATGGTGCAAGGGTTTTGGCCCGTCTCTCGCTGTCTCTATGTCCACTTAAATGTGTGAGAAGTGCTTTGAGTGTGTGTCATGTAATGTGTACTCTGCTCTCCTTATCAGATGGCCATAGTGCTCTCAGCTAAAGAGCTGGCTCTTTCTCATCGTAGCAGGGCTTAGCATCACAAATGTCCAGACACTCAGAAACCCAATGAAACCAGTCAGTGTTTAATGAGAGCAATTAATGTCCGTTAATTAACTTTGCGAAAGCCCCCATCTCCTCCTGACATCCGCCACAGCTTTCCATCCCTCTTCTGCATGTTCTCCCCCTCGTTCCCGCAACCACATCTTTGGATTTCTGCCAGCTGGATTTCTTCGATCTGCAGTTTCTCTGAGGGCCTTTAGTTTGGCTTGCTCAGGACATTTATTCCTCATTGGTATTTAGGGCTCCAGCTGTTTAGGCGTAAAGCACACAAATGCTCATCATTAGACTTTGAGGCTGTTCTGTATGTTGCTTAATGATGGGACGAAACCTGAGCAAGGTTAATATTTTTGTATAAAGCATTATAGTTTTTTCAGGCTTCTTTGATGAATATAAAAGTTCAAAAGAACAGTATTTATTTGAAATAGATTTTTGCAACAGTGTAAAAGTCACTTTTGATTATTTAATGCATTCTTGCCGAATAAAAGTATTAATTATGAATTTGCATGACTTTTCCAGTCATTCGTGATTTACAGGATAAAGATTTTTATACTTTCTTTTTTACTCACAATTTCTACCTAATGAAATATTTTGGAGCTTGGCATAACTAAACAAATCTGTTTCAAATGTTTCAAGTCATCTGATCACAAACATTTTGGACACATTTATGTTTGTACTTAGTGGTGCTCGGGATCATATTGGCCTAAACAAATCTTAATACCAGGTAAACGTTGCCAGATGTTTTATGTGTATATTGTGACCCCAGATTATAGTTTGTTCAGGGTCATGCTGGTCTGTCCCAGGGCCACGGGAAAGGATTATTTGTTACATGACACCAAAGACAGCAAAAGGCACAACTCCCAAACGTGAGATAAAACAAAGGTCGTATTAGACTGAGACTAAGAAACAGAACTGGCTAGAATGGTCTTCATGGGACTGAGAAACACTAGAGATTGGAGACTGCACAGGATGTGACTGTCATGTGATCTATGATAGACTGAGCTCCATGTCAGTGTGTGGAAAAGAGGTTGTATAAATCTAGCCAGAATATAAGCTGATTAAACGTGAGGTTTTAAGCTCTAATGAGAGCAAGCTGCTATGTATTATAGCAAAAGCTGCAGTTTATTCACACACACACACTCACAGTCAGCCCCACTTCCACATTATATATCCACATCTGACACGCACTCAATTTTGTAGGTATTCTCACACAGTGTCCTTGCATTTCCTCGAACACTGCTGAAAACACCTACACAGGGTAAAGGTTAGGGTTGGGTACCGTTCACATTTTAACCGGTGCGGTATCGGTACCTGAATTTCGGTGTCGGTACCCAACGGTACCTTTTTTCGGTACTTTACTCTGTGTGTAATTACAAAAACTCATTTATTTCAGTGAAAAAATAAGTCCAAAAGTCTCAATTTCAACATTTTGAACAATAGGGCCCAACAAACCTTTTCTTTTCTTTTTTTCTTTTTTTTTTTTTTAGAAATTCTTGTTTTAATTTTTCTGAAAATCAAATGAAGGCATTAAACATTTATTTTAAATCAAATGAAAATTCAAACAAACAAACTGAGGTTTACTGTTGAAATGAATACATGGAAGAAAAGTTGTGTGAATATTCCTTTAAAAACATTTTTAATAGGCTAATAATTGTATTATTTTTTTCTACAATTAAGTGATTAATCTAGTTGTAATGTTTATTTTTATCATTTCATTGTTTTATTTAAATTTGATAGAACATGGAATATTTAAAGATGTACATTATAATTTACAAAAGTAATACAAGAGTAATATGTTTCTGTTACATGTTAAACCGTACTTTTATTTTGACAGGTTGCCATGAAGTTTCTGTGTGTATACAGTATGATGATGCTAGTTTTCTCAAATGAAACGGTAAAATTCTTGCGAAGTGACTCACAGCAGCTCTGGAGATTAAGTTTTTGTGTTCATGCCATCATATAGTGAGATGCAGGTCTTTCTTTCTCTCTCTGTAGCGTATGCGCCCAGATGCGTTCTCAGGTACCGAAATTTGGCACCGATTGATTTAACGTGAATCGGTACTCTGTAGTACCGACGCAATTCAGTCGGTACCCTTAAAAGTACAGAGTTCAGTACCCAACCCTAGTAAAGGTGCATATACCTTCTTAGAGGTGGATTCCCACACACTTCATGCTATAATTTATCACATATGTCTCTTG